GACAACACTTTTCTCCCATCACAACAAGAATGCTGTCAAAAAATAAATCGATTCGTTGGTGTATTTCGGTTCGTATGGAAGACCTATGAATCATAGGTATCCTTCTCTATTTAAAAAAAGGTGAATTNAAAGTTCCCGCTAATTTCCGCAGAGTGATTCATGAAAAGTTGAACAATGGTCTGTTTGGAATGGAACCTTTGTCGCTGTTCATAGTTCATTCACACATTTCATTTTCCAACATCCTGTGGTCAGGGTTACCAAACATTTGTTGAAGTGAGCAAGTTTTGAAGGCTACTTCCAACTTCAAGTTTCTAAGAATTCAATCTAGCCCGTTAGTGCATCTTGGTTCATACCGAAGTACTAAAAAGTAGAGAATTCTCTCTAAATTTACGTTTCCTAATAACATCTTTCTCGATACTGCATTTTTATTTACTCAAGGGGAAAGTAACAAGCCTATGGGCAAGAAAGTTTAGACCTGCCATTTTGTATTGTAAACAATGGTATGAGCAATCAGAAATATACCTAAAAGTACTGGTTCTTCCTATAGACATCAAATTCTAGACCCTGGTTACATCTAATCAATAAGATATCCAAGAGTGGAAACTTCTCGTTGTTTTCAATAACATATGTAAACTCAATATTCGGAGATCAAATCAAATCAAAATATGCTTTATTACAAAAGATCTAAACATCTCATTGGCAAAGTCTAGTAAATTAAAACGTGTATATGGAACATTAAATCAACAAATATAAGCTATAAAATAATGCTTAGAGACAAGAGCAGAAATAATAGACAGAACAATATTAAACCCAGCTGAACAGATACAAATAAATATAAATACATGAATATTGAAATGCAAATATATAATGCTACGTAATGAACATTGATAGCCATTTTGTGTGGATTACAATAATTTGTTTACACAAGGCTACATGCCAATTACTCGATAGAACCTTGGTGGAATTCGTCCACACTATAATAGAGCCTTCCAATAAGGAATTATTTTACTTTCTGTCTAAATTTCTTTTGATTATATATTCGCCTCAAGTCAATGGGAAGGTGATTTAATAACTTCTATTGATGAAATAACTATTGAAAATAATAGAATTTTGTGTAAGGGCTAGAAGACAAAATAAGATATAGAACAGACATCCATAATCTGAATCTGAGATCCAGAAATCAACTAACTACACCCCGCCACAGAACCACTTTATTTCGTGGATCCGCGCTGGATTATACAAATAAACTCAGTACTTACTTACTGTAACTAAAACATTAGTTTTTTTTTGTTGTTAGTACGTACTAACAGAAATAAGTCTAATGTTTTGTTTGCTTGTACACTCTCTTTCGTTTCTGAAATATCATATTCAAATATGATATTATCTAATAAAAGGTGAAACTGGATTCTGTAGCGTAGAATAAATCCAAAACAAGCACGTTTCCCAATCACCAGAAATGTCTTCTCGACGCGCGTTTCACCATGTTGACATCTTCAGGAGATGAAGAAAACTACATCTTCTGAAAACGCTTGTCAAAATGCAATGCTTGTCAAAATGCAAAACGACTCATTTTCTCAACTCCATTTTACAATTTCATGAAAGTTTTTCTGTAATATAGCAGTTCCATATTGCAGTTTTCAAAACATCTGCCAATAAAAAATATTTCGGAATATTCCAAAGCAGAGCAAAGATCATTTATAGATAAATAATATGAATGACAGAGGGGTCCCAGATTCGATCCTTCAGGTTTCTCATAGTAACCATAAAACTTCTCAGAAGTGTTACCATTGAACTGTACTATAAAAGATCTATCTTGTAGATAGATAAACATTAGATACACAATATTTTGTTAAATTACGAATTATTTCAGTTTCTGTGAAAGAATATCATTTTCCACCTTGTCAAATGCTTTCTGGAAATCAATCTGTAATTATCTATTTTACTACCAGATTTGTGAAGGGAAATTACTCACTCCGAATATCAAATTGTAGATATGAATTATTGGTGCAAACATACACTCATATATTGCATCTTTTTAAAATATACGGAGGTATACAATCATATACTGCTGCTTCTTTGGAATCAAGTTTTACAATTGAAAGTACACCTAGTCAGCTAGGTAGATAGGTCTGAAGTGAGTGGTAAAGTAGACCTAAAATGGCATCTAATTTGTCTAAAAACTCTTCAAGTATAAGTAATTGCACCAGTACAATATATTGGCATCTTCAGGAGATGGAGTAAACTAATTGTTAACTCTCAAACTAGTCCCATTTATATCCAACAGGATACACTTTCACTTTCCCTGAAACATCAATTACTTCAGGTAGAAATTCGCGAAAAATTTTCTCGTGAAAGTTCCCGCTAATTCTGATAGAGCGATTCATATGAAGGAAAACAATATACTTTTTGGAATGGGACCTTTGTCAAAGTTCATAGTTCTCATGCTGTACTTTGATATTTCCAGACATCCGAAAGTATGCAAAAATCTGGTGTCATACACCGATCTCAACAATTTCAGGCAGCTTTTATTCAATCAGTGTCCGTTCTTCCAAGTGTATTTCGGCGACATTAGATTTTTTCACAGTTCTCACAGCTTAGGTACTTCATATCCCCGTTTTTTCTGTTGCCAAGATATTGTCTTTAGGACCACCTGACAAATGTTGACGTGTGCAAGAAGTCTTGAAGGGGCTATATTTACACATTCAACTTCTTGAAAATGCGATCTAATCCGTTAGTGTATTTGAAGGATGCCCCTGATAACATTTTTCTCAATATCATAGCTTTCTTTACTGAAAGAGAACGTAACAAGCATATGGACAAGAAAGTTCAGTCCTAATATTGTGTGTTGAGCTGTCAGGAATAAATCTAAAATCACTAGTTTTCTTTCATGACATCAAATTCTAGAGCCTGGTTACTTCTAATAACTGTGACATCCAACAATGGTAACTACTCGTTATTATTATTAATTTTGTATTATTATTTGTAATATTGTAATTTTAATTTCAATTGTTTTCAGCATTAGATATTCGGATATCTGTTTTTAGGAGTTGAAACANTCAATGAAGTCGCCCCGGAGCGCCAATTAATTTTTATTGTTGTTTTTATTTTTATCGTTGTTTTATAATTTCACACATCAAACTAAATATTTTGAGTTTGAAGTCAAAATTTTGAAATTGAAGTCGGAATTTTTAGTTGAAAGTCGAAATTTCGATTGGTCAAAATATCAACTCCAAAGTAGGAATTTCGAGATTGAAGTCGAAATCTTCAGATTGAAGTCGTAATATCGACTTGAAGTCATAATCTCGAGTTCAAAGTCGAAATCTCGAATTGAAAATCGTAATTTTGGATTTGAATTCATAAACAATTGATTGAAGAAATACTAATTTAAATGTGCACCCTCATCTTCTCAAAACTATTAGATAATGAAAAGCTGTACATGAATATACTGGGTGTCTCATTTGGAGCAGTTCACCTTCAAACTCCTTGTAATATATTTTGAAGTCAAAAATAGCGAGACAAGTCTAGCTAATAGTGGGAATTTAACTACACTTTTCCATCTACAGTTTCCGAATTGCAGGCTGTCGATGTTGGGATAGAGGAGAAATCGTAAACAGGGTTGCCACATTTTCCATGAATTTGAAGTTGATGTTGAATGGAACAACATCACCCTTAAACATATTCAAAAATGTTTTCTAGGCATTCACTCACAAATATATTGATAAATGTTTTCTAGGAATCTATTAGCAGATGAACTATTGGAGTTTTTCAAGATGTAATAGTTGCGGAACGATGAAAAGTACGCCTGCATATTCAGAAAGTTCAATTAAATAGTTTTTCAAAATCATTCTTGATCAAATTGAAACACAAAATTTCGACTCTGAATTCGAAATTTCGAGTTATAACTTTGAATTTCGACTTCAATCTCTAAATTCCGACTTTTAACTCGAAATTCTGACTTGAAGTTTCAAATTCCAACCCGCAATTTTAACTCCAAACTGAAAATTTTCAATATCAATATCAATTTCGTAATTTCTATTCGAATCTAGAAATTTCGACTTCAATCTCAAAAGTTAGACTTTAAATTCAAAATTGAGACCTTGAAGTCGAAATATCGGCTTCAATGATCACATTTAGGCTTTAATCTTAAAATGTGTATCTCCATCTGAAAATTTCAACTTGAAACCCAAAATGCCCACTTCCAACTCGAGATTTTGACTTCGATCGCAAAATTTTGAATGAAAATTCATTTTATTTCCCAAGATTTTGATCTCGAAATTTCTATTCAAAACTAGAAAATACGACTTTAATCTCGACAATGCGAATTCGCAATTCTGACTTTGAAGTCGAAATTTCAGCTTCAAACTTCAAATTCCGACTTTTATCTTAAAATTTGGATCTTCTTCTCAAAATTCCGACTTGGAACCCAAAATGTCCACTTTAAACTCAACATTTCGACTTTAATCTCTAAACTTCGAAAGAAAACTCGAGATTCCGATTGAATTATGAATCTAAACTGGAAATTTCGATTTTGATCTCGAAATTTTTAATTGAAACTAGAAATTCCTACTTCAATCTCGAAATATCGACATATAATTCGAAATTCAGACTTCAATCTCTAAATTCCGACTTTATATTCGAAATATCGACTTTGATCTCAAAATTTAGAATTCAAACTTGAAATTTCGATTTCAATTTTGACATTTCGATATGAAAATAGAAAGTGAGACATTGATTCCAAAATTTTCACTTTAAATTCGAAATTCTGACTGAACTCGAAATTTCGACTTCAATCTGGATCTTATTCTCAAAATTCCGACTTTCAACCCAAAATTCGAATTCAAACTTGAAATTTTGCTTTCGAATTCAAATAGAATTGCGATTTGAAAATAGAAACTGAGACTTTCATTTCAAAATTTCCACTTTAAACTCGAAATTCTGAACTGAACTCGAAATTTCGACTTACTCTCAAAATTCCAACTTTGAACCCAAAATTCGACTTCAATTTCCAANTTTATTTCTACACATCACAACCAGTGACCATCCGACAAAAAACACAGAATACCGACATCCAGTTGTATATCATAAACATTGACATGACGAGTCCATATTTCTTGAAATCTATTCCCTCTACGAAAGCTTTGATGACGAATATAAAGGCTTCCAACAAAATGATCACAGAATAGAGTAACAGGAACGGTAGGAAGAAAATAGGATTACCCTAAAACATCACGAGTTATTATTGTTTAAATTTTGATAAATTCTCCTTACAGTCAACAGACCAACAAGCAGAAAGAAATAATACTCCGCAGATAACACAAGACATATTAATTTAGCATCTCTTTCAGCTTCCGGGGTGATGAATGTTCCACTCTTCAATCTTTCCCTCCAAAGAAACCCTGGTAATACCGGTCCACATTTTATTATTCGTACTATGTCAAAAATACTGAGAATCTGAAATTATTATCATGACCAAAAATTTGGTGTAGATAACATATATTTTGCATACCACACCGAGGATCCCTAAAATAGCTACATAAAACGGTGCAAATCTCAACGCTGGATGGGCACAAAAAACTTTGATGGTTTTGTGGTTTCTCTTCAACAGTGGTCCAAGTAATGTGTGAAATGGAATTTTCATAATGGTTTCCAAAGTTCGAACTGAATTACATTTCGGCTTGAAATTAAATTAGTTTTTAAAATAGTTTTCATGAGGTACTTTTGACACTGACAATTTTGCGGAAGATTATGAAGTTTGCTTTGTTTGTCTGAGTGACGTTTTCAAAATGAATTAGTGTAAACGTATTATTTTATCATCTTATTCCAAATTCGATATGAGCTCCAGCACAATAGTCATAAAAACTCCACCCAATTATCCAGATAGTGTTTTGAAGGCTAATCCGTTGGAACAAAAATCATCCAAGTTGTTGATCTCGTCTTTATGGTTGTTCTCCTCGGTATTTTCAGCAGCCAAAATCGATTTCAGTGCAAATGTAACTGGTAAGTACAATAACTAATGAATACTTGTGAAACTCCCATATAAATGAAAATTAAATGAACCAACTCTTTCTGAAAGAACCTCATTATGGGACTTTTGTGTTTAAAGATATGTTTACAAATTTTATGGGAAATAAATATCAATTTAGAATTATTCTTTGTCATGGACGGTGCAGACACAGTGAAAAGGTGAAAAACAAAATTTTCGATCAAACGCAAACAATTCAAAGACGGACCAGAATATGTTCAAAAAAAATAGCTATAAGCGAAACTCTCTATGTTTCTCACGAATTTCTCTCTCACTAACTTGAAGAAAGGAGTATTAGATAGGAATATAGGAAGATAATTTCCATTCTTAGACGAATTGGTGAAGAGGTCCGACACCAAATGGGAAACATCTGTATATCGAAAACCCAGGAATCCAACCACCATCAATCGATGGTGGGAATAGAATAGGAATTATCAAGACTCTACTAGACCATGCTTTCGGGCTCTGTAATACAAAGAAAGGTCTCGAAAAGGAAATAGGCATCATCAAAAATGACTTTCAACGGAATGACTACTCCAAAGTGATGATGGATCAGGCTTTAGCTAGAAGACAGCAAGAGCCCCACAAGGAAGAGAAGCCGCCACAACCAGTACTTGTACTTCCCTACATCAGAGGATTGTCGGAAAGGATAAGAAGGATTGGGTCCAAGTATAACATCAGAACCTGCTTCAGATCTGGGAACACTATTCGTAGCAGCCTCACGAAAACCAGGCCACCAAACGCGAACTGCGACTCCGAAAATTGCATTTACCGGATATCCTGCGAGTGCGGAGAATCATACATCGGTGAAACTAAGAGGCCATTAAAAGTTCGCATTGCCGAGAACAAGAAACACACACAGCGAGGAGAAACCAGCAAATTGAACTCATCAACATAACATCAAGTGGGCTCAAGCTGAAGTAATTCACGAAGAGGAGCACTGGTTCAAGAAAAAATTCAAAGAAGCCGCATATATTTTGTCCAACAACGCATTTAGTCAAGCTAGCGTAGATATCCGCAACATATGGAAACCTCTAATCAAGCGGAACACGACCAACTTCCGTCAAACGGTCAGCTTCCGCTAAAACCGATGAAGCGGATAGTGGAAAGAGGGGATAGGTGAAAGCATTCGAATGACCTATAAATAGTCAGACTGTGGATACTGTGGATACATCAGTAAGGGTTAAAAGTGAAAAGACAAAAAAAATTAATCGAGCGCGTCAGATTTTCTAAGGGAGTGTTGAGTGCAACAAAAAAAGCTCTCATTCAATAATCTGACGATTTCGATCTGACGCAAACTCGCAGCCATTATTATAATGTGCAAAAAATTCGCCATTTTGAAATACTCAAGCGTGTCAGATTAAGATATATATGGTTCATCTTTATGTTTTAGACGTGCTGTCTCATAATCTGACAATTATCTACAGGGATTCGCTTAATCTGACAAAAACAATATATTTTTTTTAATTTTCATCTCGTGTTAATAGTTCAATCTTTTATTTTTGGGTGTTGCTTGTATTTTATTTCATTGTAATTTCAGTTTTTTGCTTAATATAATCGTTGTTTTTTCAGGTAATCTTTTTAATTTTTTACAGATTCTTTCAGGGATTTCAAAATCATTTCATATCATATTAGAAAATGCAAGTCTGAACTAATGAAATGCACCACGAAACATTGTCGGACAACTTCAATTAATTATTCATTTTTATATTCATTACAAGAAAGCTATAACTACAAAAAGAATTTCGTGTTAATTGAATTTGTTTCAGGTATTTCATTCTCATTCAATATTCAAGATGTACTTCTGGTATCATTTGCAGCTTGGATGCTTCATAAAGGGCTGGCTACTGTAATCTCTGACTTCTTTCCATTCGTTCTGAGATATAATTAGAAATAATTTTCAGCGAAACGTTGCTCTAATATTTCCTTGGATTTTGGCAGCACTCTATGGCCTTTATTATAACCACTATAAGAGTTTGTCACGGATGGCGGCAGTTTTGAAACATGTCAGGCATACAACTGCACTACCCTGGATTGCTTTATCCACAACTGCTTTAGGACTAGGTGAGGTTCTCTTCAAGATTATTATTTCGTAGTGTATTCACAGATTTTTTCTTTCATTTATTGAATAACAAAAAACAAGTAATTACCAAACTAAACTTCTCTTAAGAGGTGAAATACCTTACCATCCTCGACAGGAAGCTAACATGGAACTCTCACCTACAGAGTAGAACAAAAAGAGCATATGTGGCTTATGAGCAATGTCGGAGGACCGTGGGACGCGCATGGGATCTTTCACCCCGTGTGGTCACCTGGATCTACACTGCAATAATAAGACCTATGTTAACATACGGAGCCATTGCATGGAGACCGAAAATTCCACAACCACCGGCCATCCAAAGCGACTGACTTTTTTAAACATCAGAGGAGCCATGAGAACAACGCCAACTGCGGCAATGGAACTAATAACTGGTCTAACTGTCTGACCCCTCTGGACCAGTACGTTAAAGAGGTTGCGTTAATGGCCATGTTACGATTGCGCACGTCTGGTATAAACCTCGAAGTAGGGATGGGTCAATTGAGGCTGAGCCTATGGCGAGAAGCGCGTACTGCGCAACCAGTGCAGGCAACCAGTAATGCAATTGAACCCAGGTTTGTGTTTAATAAACCCTGAAAAATACAAATAAAACAGAACACTGAGTCAGATGCTACAAATGCAATACGCATATATACATACGGCTCAAAAACCAAAGGCTCAGGATGTAGAGTGTACTCCAGATCACTAAGCCTAAGGATTAAATGGGGAATGGAAAAAATACCAGCGTGGTCCAAACAAAACTGGCTGGTATCTCAATCGCCACAAAATAAATAACCAGGAAATTTCTGGCAAAAACATAACAATCTGCAATGATATTAGACAAGCACTATTAGCCTTGAACAGACAGCGTGTTACCTCAGGGCTAGTACTAGAGTGCCACCAAGATTTAACCAAAGCCTCGGTAGATAATAACAGTATCCTGATGTGGATTAAAGGGCACGGCAAGAGTAAAGGTAATCGCATTGCCGACTCTTTAGCCAAGGAAGCGGCTGGACTAAAAATTTTAGAACCCAGTGGAACCTACGGCCTGATGGCATTGACAATTATGGAACTCGCCAAACATTCCCCCATGCTCAATCCCTAAAGGGATGAATGAAATCAAAGGATCCAATCTTGCCAGGATCACTCTGGGCGACCCTGGGAAGCTGACTATCTGGCGATAACCAGGAAAAATCTACGCTTAACAGTAGGATTCTGACTGGCCATTGTCAACTAAGGAAACAACCCCAACAATATAAGGCTAGTAGACACACCTCTATGCAGGATATGTGAACAGGAAGATGAAACTGTCAGGCATGTCCTATGCGAATGTCCGGAGTTATCGTCAATAAGAGAGTGTGTGTTCGGCGAGTCTTGGCCTATGCACCTGCCGATATAAAGGAGATGTCTCTACGAGACCGGTCCACCTTCCTGGAAAGAACAGGATGGACGATGACCTAGGAGGACAACTCCTTGAGAGGATGTACAATGGGTCACATATGGCCTAAGTGCTGTGGGCCTACACTCACTCTTCCTACTCTACAGATACAGATGTTATCGGAGTGTTTGGAAAAATGACAGTCGGTTGGCAAGAGGTCTGAGTAGTATGGTGGGTGAGGCCGAACTTCGATGCTCAATTCGTTCAATTTTCAGACGTTGATTTGTGAAACGTGCGGACGAGCGTTGTTGTGGAGCAGGATTGCCTCTTCTGTTGCTGGCTGCTGCTGATGCAATTTTCGGTACGTTTCGTCGATTTTTTCACAATAGGACTCAGCTGTGATGGTTTGGCCGGGTAGCAGAAAGTTATAGTGAATCATACCGCCGCTGTCCACTTTATAGTTAACCATGATGTTTTTCTGGTAGGTTTTCGCTTTTGGTGCCTGAGTAGCTTATCGGTGTTCAACCACTGTCCTGAACGTCACCTTTATAGAGAATCCACAGTTCATCGCACGTGACGATCCCATCCAAAAAAGAATCGTTTTGGTTGCGCAAAAGCAAAGAAGAACAGACCTCGAAAAGTGACAATTTCTGTCGATTGTTCAAAAGTTTCCAATACGTTTCAAACCAACAAAATCGCATGGAAGCTGACGCCCAGTTCCGGATTATTGTAGGTTGACCACTTTGGGACTCATATCCGAGGCTAAAATCTCCTGAACGAAATTTCGCAAAGCAACGTCGAAAAATGCGTTGATTTACTTTACACTGGTTTTACCCTTGTTACATGTAATCAATAAGATATCCAAGAGTGGAAACTTCTCGTTGTTTTCAATAACATATGTAAACTCAATATTCGGAGATCAAACCAAATCAAATCAAAATATGCTTTATTACAAAAGATCTAAACATCTTATTGGCAAAGTCTAATGAATTAAAACGTGTATATGGAACATTAAATCAACAAATATAAACTATAAAATAATGCTTAGAGACAAGAGAGACAATATTAAACCCAGCTGAACAGATACAAATATAAATACATGAATATATTAAAATTGAAATGCAAATATATAATGCTACATAATGAACATTGATAGTCATTTTGTGTGGATTACAACAACTTGTTTACATTAGGCTACGTGCCAATTACTCGATAGAGCCTTGGTGGAATTCGTCCCACTATAATAGAGCCCCCCAATAAGGAATTATTTTACTTTCTGTCTGAATTTCTTTTCATTATATGTTCGTCTCAAATCAATGGGAAGGTGATTAAATAACTTCTATTGATTACATAACTATTGAAAATAATAGAATTTTGTGTAAGGGCTAGATTAGGTGTGGGAAGGGAAATGAAGTAAGACTGGCGTGTACTATAAGTAGAGGTGGTATTAAATTGATTTTTATATTTTTTGTGGATAAGACACACTGTTTCCAAAATAACAAGGCATACTAAGGTCAGAATTTTATGCTTCACAAATAATGGGCAGCATGAATCCCTGTAGCTAGCCTTGCATAAATATCTGATGGATCTTTTTTGTAGAGAAAATACCATATTGAAACGAAATTATGCACAATTTCCCCAGAAACAAATTCCATAACGTATACAGGACTCAATTTGTACAAAATAAACTGATTTTGTAATAGTAGTATCTAACTCTCCTGCAACAACTCTCACTGCATGACATCCTGCTGCTAGTATTTTACATAGGTAGTCAACATGGGAATCACATTTATCAGCGGAACATCCTGCGTGAAGCGAATTCAATTCCAATTTCTACAGCTAGTACCAACATGGAAATAAAATCTTCCACAAAAGCAATGAAGAACCATAATTCCGTATCTCTTCCTCAGAGGAGAAAGAGAAGAGTTGATAACGTACGTTTCAATATCAACATGGAGACCAAACGACTCATAGATATGTTGTTACATGGAAAATCGGCCTTGGACAAAAGACAAAATCCTTCTACAAAAAAACCAACCACCACATCCAAAAAACTCATTACAACTACAGAAAAACAAATAGATACGGCTGACGACCTACTCAAAATATATCCCAATCTTGTGGTGGAACATTTCACTTATAATCAAGCTTTTTTTGGTTCACCTCTTTATGCTTACTGGTCAGAACTAAATGATCATTTGAAAGTTTTTGCTGTGAGGGTTCTTCAGTTGTGGCAATTTGGTGGGATGACTTTTGATCTGCAAGCAGTGGCAAGTGAAATCAAGGAACTAAGTGCCAATGATAATAAAACAAGTGCTAAAGATGAAATAAAAGTTAAACAGTTTGTCATTTCTGAAAAAAATAACTACAATGATCTACCTATTGGAGTTGTTAAAGTTGATGATCGAGCCCTCCACATGGAAAGCAAGGTTCCTTGTCACGCATTTTTTGGAGAAATTCTCCTAAACCTGAGAAAGACCCATAAAGATACGTCCGTGCATTATATCATGCAGAAATCGATCAAAGTTTTTTGCAGCCACTTCTCTGCAAGTAGGAACTATTGTAATGTATTTAATTATAATTGACACTGAATTTAAATATACTGTATAATTATATTTTATATTAAATGTTTGAAATTCCTTGATTATTGTAGTAACAGTATTTAAACAAGTAGTTCTGACGAAATTATTAGAAATATATGGCTTTATTTGGTTTTTATGGTCAAATCCTGGAATCCAAAACAACCGTACATTGAACAATAACAAAAATATACCCCTCTCCATTCAACTTCTGAGTAAGCTTATGGTTCATCGTCAAAATACGGAAATCTTCATCAAATGCTATCAGTATATAACTTCTAACTAACAGTTATTACCGGAAAACGATTTTGGATACTAACACTCAACACGTCGTGTAGTAGCTTGATTCAAAATCTGTTTTCCAATATATTTTTTTTATTTTTCAACCTTTTTTTTCATTTATATTTCTATTGTCACTTTGACGATATTGACGATAGTTGTGTCACGAAGTGTTCTGGCGATGTATTGAATTCATTGGAGCCTCTGGAGACACCCTACATTTCATTTTATGAGAGAGAGGACATTGGCAGAACAAGATCTTCAGACGATGTGGTGGTGCAGGTTTTTCCGGGTTTTCCTGCAGCTGAAAAAGCAAATGCGCCACTGGAATCAA